GGGAAGCCCTCCGTGAGGGGGCTTCACACAACTGCCACAAAACGGCCTTCACGTACCAACGGTTCTGTTTCGTTCTGCTGTGGGGTTTCCCAGAAGTCGGAGCCAACTTGATGAGCTCCAACAACAGACCACGGATGACTGAGAGACCAGACGTGTGGTCCTTGATGACTTCCGCACTTGAGACTTACAATCAGGCATGCACCATGACGAATATCACATATGCTGGCCTAGTGTGCTTTGTTTCGTGAAGTTTTGCGTATTAAAGCACTTAAGCGTTTGACGGCACAGGACAGGGTATGGAATGTGTGGCTAATTGCCTCCTTTGCCATGAGATCAGACTGGCTGGTGCTTGTCTATCACGACCGAACATTTTCATCAGACACATTGTAGAAGAATCCCGGTCAAAAGGGAGAAAATGCAGAAAAGAATTTCAAATTCGCATGGACTCCAGACTCTCTGGCGCCGCAGCGGCTGGATGAATGCCTGGAACGATGACCCTGAGATAATCTTTAAAATGGAACTATCCTAAAGCCACACAATGAGAAACCCAGCCCAACCCACTGTCCTTGAGGCGAGTCTAATTCACGGGGCCCTAGAGGACAGAGGGGGACTGACGCATAGCGCTTCCAAGGTTGTAAATCCTTACAGAAACAGACTGCCACAGTGTGTGTGTGTGTGTGTCCCTGCTAGGTTCACCTTTTGGGTTATCTTACCTCATTTAAAAGGTCTGCCTTGAGCATCATGCTCTCTAAGGAACCATTTGCCTGGGACCATCATTGGGCAATATTCTGCTGCTATGCGTAAGGGTTTCAGTGGCTGGTGCCTCTAGAGTGGACAGCTTGTTCCTTCTTTGTTGTCTGCCCTTAATCTGGAAGCTCTGCTGACACCCGTTCACTTTGGGTGACCCTGCTGGTGTTTGCAATACCCGTGGTATAGCTCCCAGCGCCCCAGCCACTTACAAGCCACCATGAGGTGAAGAGGTGGTAAAGGGCGCGGAGAGGGACAGTGAACAAGAGGAAGCCCCTCGGTGAGATGGACTGACACCGTGGCTCCAAGAATGGGCTCAAATGTAACAGCAATTGTTCAGAGGGCATGGGACCGGCAGGTGTTTCATGCTGTTGTATATAAGGTCGCTCTGAGTCAGAAACGACTCGATGGTCCCTAGCAATGACAACAACCATGTCAACTGAAAAGGTTCGACAGGAATCTTAGGGGACAGTGGGCTTGTGTTAGTGAGGGAGGGACGACTCAGGACACTTGGGTGAGAACGGACACCCAACTCGAAGCGTGCTGCCCGTGTCACGGAAGTTTACATGTAGCAACTGTTAAGTTGGTGTATGCTTTGCTTGCGATATTCTTGACAACAATAACAACAAAATGAACGAAGACGTAAACAACCAGACACCGGGAACAGGGACTCCAAAGACAAACCCACCTGTAAGGGGCCTGGCAGATGCTCAGAGATGCAGGCGGATGCTCGGAGAAGTCTGGGAGTCGGTCCCAGACCTGCAGTGACATGACGATCACAGTCAAGTGAGGCACCCCAGGTGTTTGGTGCACACAAAAGGTATGTCTATACTTCGTCTATCAAGTGGGCAACAGCACTATGGAAGTCTCTGAACGATGGTGAAGATGACCAGAATGGGACACGCTGTTGGGAAGATGGAACCAATGGGCTTGCTCCGGGCAGGCTTGCTGTAAACTGTCAATTTGGGAAAACCCAAACCCACCCCGGAAGTGTCTATGAGGTGCAATAAAACAAGGTATGCCTGTATTTCATGTGCCAAGATCCCCACCTCAGGTGAAGCTTTTGTTCTAAGTCCGGCGCCCCACCCCCACCCCCCCACTCCCGCACCACCACCCGCAGGCCAGGTGCTTCTCCTACTCCTAATGCCACAGCTTCTTGAGGTGGACGTCCCCGTCTCTCCCTGAGCCCTCCCAGCTGGCCACCTGGCTGCCTCCCTGGCCCAAGCTGGCTTCCCTGCTAGGCCTGTGGCATCCATGCCCTCTCCTTCCTTTCCCCACTCTCCTCATATGGCTTCTTACCAGGGTGATTTCAACAAGCCCTGCTGGTTGCTTTGCTCCATTCCTGGTCCCCTTCCACCCAGCCTTTAAGTTGCCCCCAAGAAACATCCCTGGGACACAGGCCATACACCAACCTGTGTGAAAACTCCCAGTGGCTTGGCTACAAATGGCGCCCTTCTTACACTGTCGCTCGTGGCCCGCTGACTTCAGAATCTCCTGGACTCTGGACATTCAGCGAGGAGGGCCCTGGAATAGGGAAACCCTGGAATTTGCGTTTTTCATGAGCAATCCCAGGTAACCTGTAAGCACCATCGTTGCGTAAGCAACAGCCTGAGCAAGAAGGTTGGCACTTAGGCTGAATCAGCGTGAGTCTTTCCTGTTCATTTCCTTGTAATTCAGACCTCGGACCAGAGGTTGACCAGACTCCTCAAGTTCCACCCTGCACGCTCCCTCCCCAGGCATTTTCCACGCGCTTCACTTTTCTCAACATGCTTTAAAAAAAAAAAAATCTTTCCTCAGCTAATAAAGTTCTATCAACCCTCAGGGCCCAGTCCTCTAAGCCCTCCCCAAGTTCTTGAGACACTTTGCTGTGTGCTTGTCCAGCTCTCAGTCGAGGACTCTTGGCTTCCACTTGTCTTCCGTTAGAGTCAGTTGATAACATGCCTGTCTGCCTCTTGCAAAGCCATGCAGAAGATGGTGTCCTTACTCGTTAACACAACCCTTATTCAGTGACTTACACCATCATCCAGAATCCACCCCAACCCGACTACCTCTGCCACCGTCCCTGGGGCACGCTGCCCTCATTTCAGTCTTTGGATGAATGCGATAGCTTCCCACTTAGCCTCACAATTCCTGCTCACACACCCCGAGTCTCATCTGATCACCACAGGCCTAGGCAGGGTGTTTTACTTATCCCCTGGCATGGACGATTTACATATTTCTGTGCTATTGCTACTATTCTTATTTATGACAGATTGCCTCCCCACTAGAATACAGCACCCAGAGGGTGGGATTGGTCTCCCGTGTCCGTTGCTACAGCCCAGGTGCCTGCGGCATGAGGTTAGCAGATACACGCAAATCTACTAAGCACGTGATGTCGGACTTTGGGTTGTGGGACTGTCCTTCCTGGGAACATGCAGTCTTACCTACCAGCTTAGAGGAAAGCCTGGTCTCCGTAACAGCCACATCTTTGTCTTGGACACTGGGGTCTTTGGGTTGGGCTCCTGAGGGTATCTGTGGTCTGCGTCTTCTGGCTGAAGGTAAAATGAAGGCACTTTGCCCAGCCAGGGCCAACTCCAGCACCCCACCAGGACGGTTGGGGGGAAAGCGCTTCTGGGAAGCATAGGATTAGGATGACGTCAGTGAGGATGCGTGTGGACTCCTGGGATTTCGCCACTGGGGAGACAACTCCTCAGCCCACCATTACCAGGAAGACCCGCTGTAATCTAGGCACAGCTGTCCTGCGGAGAAACTTGGGCCCCTGAAAATGCTAGAGACCTGCTGACTCAGTTCTGGAAGCATCTACTCTTATCAGAGACAGTCAAACTCTGCATGCTAACCCTAGCCCACACTGTATCTTCGTCTTACAAGAGGGCTGCAGATATCAACTAACTGTATACGTCTTCAATCTAGTTCCTATGGGTTAATTATTTTTGGTCTGCAGGGACAGCCTTCAAAAAACTAGGGATAACAACTTTGACTTACATAGATGGTGTCTGTTGGCAGCCCCCTTCTTCCTATAAGGCATGATGGGAGTGGGTGATGGGGCTTTGCGTCAAGCCAGCAGGGTGGGACACTGCAGATACTTGTTTCGCAATGACTAAAGGGTGAGGGAACATTTCAACTTCAAAATGAAGCTTCAAAATTTGTGGCTTTAGATCACTTGGCGTTTTTCTCGCTTTCCGGATGGTACTGGTTGAGTATCTGTGCCAATAGTGTTTGCCCGGATGGTCTATTCTCTGGCATGCGGTGCTGGAAATACATCTTGCTACTACTGCCACCTCCTCCCAGTAGAGTGCTGCCGTGCCTGGCACACCTCGGGGTCTGTGGAGGTGCTCAGCTTCGCTGCAGAACCCGAGGCCACGGACAATCACTGCCTTTTAATTGTTCACACTTTGAAAATATTGATGCGCGGCGCCACACAATTCTGCTAGCCGTGCCCCCTCATTTACCCACTGCATATGGCGCTTTCCATCTTAATAAACGACAACTGCAGCGTTGCTCAGCACGTCCTTTTTCATTGCAGCCCAACGCAGTTAACGCTTCATGCTGGCACAGCAACGGAGGCACAGCAGATGCAATGGTTTCTCAATAAGCCATTCAGAAAGCTCGGGCAGACCTGGAAATGGACATCAGGAATTTGAACCTTCTCAGCCTGCCGCTTCCTTTGAGGCACCGAGTCGCGGGCAGACAAGATTATGAAATTAAGGGCTATTGGGGACCGCAAGCAGCTCAAGTCGTGCAGTGGTTAAGAGCACGGGTGCTAACCAAAAGACCGGTGGTTTGAAGCCATCAGCTGCTTCATGGGAGAATGATGTGGCAGTCTGCTTCCATAAAGATCACCACCTTCGACACGGTTTTTTGGTTTGGGGACCAAGCCCCAAACGGAATCCAAATCCACTGCCATTGAGAGTCTATTCTGACCCATGACTACCCTAAAGGGCCGAATCGAACTGCTCCCTGGGTTTCCCAGCCTGTAAATCTTTACAGAAGCAGCTAGAGGATTTGAACCGCCGACTTTTATTGTTAGCAGACCAATACCTAGCCCACTGTGACCCCAGGGATCGTGTGGGAGACCCCAAAGGTCATGAAAGGATTTCTCTCACTTGTCAAAATGTCAAATCTTGCCATTGTTAGAAAGAGGTTGGTACAATTTCCTAAAACACCTTTAGAGCATGCAGGTTCTATATGACAGAAATCCACCCCCTTCATGATCTCTGTATGTGTTCCCCCCACCCCCACCCCCTTGGTTGCAGAACATCACCTGAAGAGCCAGCCCCGCCTGCGCCTCCTCATGGATTCGTCAAATGTGACCTCGTTTGCTGCCGAGTCATCTTCGAATGTCTCCAGCGGCTGGAACGCCTCCACGAGGCCTCTGGCCCAGAAAGTCCCCATGGTGCACTGGGTCATCCTGAGCATCTCCCCGCTGGGGTTTGTGGAGAACGGATTCCTCCTCTGGTTCCTCTGCTTCCGCATGAAGAGAAACCCCTTCACGGTGTACATCACCCACCTGTCTATTGCAGACATCTCATTGCTCTTTTGTATCTTCATTCTGTCTGTTGACTATGTTCTTGACCATGAGCTCTCTTCTGGCTATTACTACACCATTGTCACGCTATCGGTTACTTTTCTGTTTGGCTACAACACTGGCCTCTACTTGCTGACAGCCATTAGTGTGGAGAGGTGTCTGTCAGTCCTGTACCCCATCTGGTATCGGTGCCAGCGCCCCAAGCACCAGTCAGGACTGGTCTGTGCACTCCTGTGGGCACTGTCATGCTTAGTGACTGCCATGGAATACGCCATGTGCATCGACAGCGAGGGACAGGCCCATCGGCAAAGCAAATGCCGGGCGGTGCTCATCTTCATCGCCTTCCTCAGCTTCTTGGTCTTCACTCCCCTCATGGTGGTGTCCAGCACCATTGTGGTCATTAAAATCCGACAGAATACCTGGACTGCCCACTCCTCCAAGCTGTACCTGGTCATCCTGGTCACCGTCATCGTATTCCTCATTTTTGCCATGCCCATGAGGCTGCTTTACCTGCTCTACTATGAGTATTGGTCAAGGTTTGGGAACCTGCACCAATTTTCGCTTCTCTTCTCCACCATCAATAGCAGTGCTAACCCTTTTATCTACTTCTTTGTGGGCAGCAGTAAGAAGAAGCGGTTCAAGGAGTCCTTAAACGTGGTTCTCACACGGGCTTTCAAGGATGAAATACAACCAGCGCAGAAGAATGATGCCGGTAATACCACCACCGTTGAGACGGTCGTCTGAGGGCTCTGGAGGACAATCACCGGCCATAGGGGCAGGCACGCAGTCTTTAGTTTATGCTTGGAATACAATTGAAGCGTCTCTTAGCTATGAAATTGGAACACAACTTAAGTGTCTCCTAAATATGAAATGGACTCCCTTGGGTAGGGGTAGGGGCTTAAAAATAGTTAATGTACTTGACTGCTAACCAGAAGGTTGGAGATTCAAGTCCACTCAGAGATGCCGTAGGGAAAAGGCCTGGTGATCAAGTTAAACAAACAAACAAACAAACAAACAAACAGTTATTGAAAACACTATGGTGCATGGTTCTAATCTAAGTTATATTCATAATATACCTGAGGATCTAATTATTGATGAGATTATATTCCTACATTGCCTATTCTAAAAATGTCTAGATACATGTTAGACTTCTGCCATTTCTGCACCTATCAGATAACTCAATTCCTCCCCAGTTATCCTGGTAGCATTTTAGGTGAACTATAAAAATTTCTCTAGAAGGAAGATTTGAAGATGTGTACAGGAAAGGACCAAAACTTTTTTTTGGGGGGAGGGGGCAGGAACAGGGGCAGAACTTGAGGAAGCCAAATGATGTAGTGGAAAAAGCAAGGGTTTTGGTATAAGGCTGGCTGTGCCATTTACTACCTGTGTAACTTCAGGCAAGTGATTTGACCTCTGGATCCCTCATTAGGAAGTTGTCATAATCATAGTACTTATCTCCCAGGATGGTTGTGATGGCTAAAGTAGGAGATAAGCTATATAGAGCACTAGGTACTTCTTCAGGGCTCAGTAAATGTTACTTCCTCCCCATTCCTTTAAATGGAAGACAAAATACATGCTTTTGTCACCTAATGCACAAACTTACACCTGTATTGTGTATAAATATTATACGTTCTTAAATGCTAAATGTGAATGCATACATATAGTTCTCCTTTTTGCTTGTAGTATGAAAGCTTTCCATGTTAGGCACTAGTATGGCTTTATAATCGTCTGTATGTAGAGATTATATATGACTTCAGGAGATGTGTACAGATGTCAACTTGACAAGGGATGGATTATAATAGGGTCTTGTGTCAATTGACTGGGCTAGGATTATCTGGGTTCAGCAGTCAAAATCTAGTAATCTTTCAAGATGAAATCTCCTCTATGGTATGACCTACTTCCAACATAAGGGGACACTGTGGAAGAGCTGACCTGCTGGTTTCTGCGTCTGTGTCCTGTATCTGTCTTATCTACCTTTGGTTCTTTGAACTTGAGCTAGTGGCCTGCCTTATTGCTTGCTGGCCTTGGATTAATTTGCCTATGAAGCTAGAAGCCTGCTCTGCCATCCTTGCATTCGTTCACCTCTGCAGCTAGAAACCTGTGGTCTGACCTGCCAATCTTGGGTTTATCAGCCTCACAGCCATGAAAATCTGAAACCTCCAGCCTGACATCTGAACCATTCCCATCTCTACCTGGACTTGGACCTTGTTCACCTCTACAACCCTGTGAGCCATTTTCTTGATATAAGCTTTGATATAAATATCTCTCTCTATATATAGACACACACACACACACACACACACACACACACACACACATAAATAAGCTTCATGGGTTTTGCTTCTCTAGAAACCCAGCCTATGACTTTTGGTCCCAAGAGTGGTTCTAGAAAAACAAAATCACAAGGACAAGTTTTCTAAACTGTTTCTCAAATCTGGTTCACTTTTAAGGTACTTATAACTCTGGATCAATTAACTGATAACTCTGCCTCTGTTAGTATAAAGGAACTGCTAATCCATGGTATAAGGTAGCAATATTAATATGCAAAATATTACCATCAACAGATCAAATATTGGTGAGCAGCAAGGCTCTAGGTAACTGTGTGTTTGATACATTTCTGAAATGTTGTCCAGATAAAAATTTTAGGGACGCTGGTTGATTGGTCTTACTAGATAAAGCCCAACTAGGCAAAGAAAGCTTGACTAGGTAAAGAAAGACTTACTGGCAAAGAACGATTGACTAGGTAAAGAAAGACAAGGTAAAGAAAAGAGATGAGCTCAGGGTTTTAGAGTCACAGTTCAAGTACTGCATAAAATATTCAAAATTTCCAGTTGGGTCCCAAAGGAAAATTTATACAAGAGTGACTTTATGTTGGGGACATGGAAATAATCACTTTTAGGGGATTATTGGACATTGCCTCTGAATTGACTAATTTTAGGAAACTCCAAAACATCACTGTGACCCACCAGTCAGAGTAGGGGTGTATGGAAGTTACTAATGGAGTCTTGGCTCAGGCTCATAGTGGATCTGGTGGGTCCCCAAATCCAACCTGTAGTGATTTCTCTAGCTCCAGAATTAATAATTGGATTACACATATTCAACAATTTGCAGAGCCTCCATATTGGGTTCCTAAAATGTGTACTAAGGGCTAGTATGGTAGGGAAAACCAAATGGAAGCCATTAGAACTGTATCTAGGAAAATAGTCAACCAAAAGCAATACCACATTACTGAAGGGATTGCAGAGATTAGTGGCACCTTCAAGGAGTTCAGAGACTCAGGGGTGGTGATTCCCTGTATATCTCCATTTAATTCAACCTATGTGGCCCATGCAAAAACAAAACAAAACAAAACAAAAAAAAAACCCTCAAACCAGATGGACCCTGGAGAATAACAGCAGATTGTCCTAAACTTAACCAGGTGATTACTCCAATTGTAGCTGCTGTCCTTGATGTGATTTCTTTGCTTGAGAAAATTAATACACCTCCTGGTACCTATTATGCAGCTAGTGATCTGGCCAATGCCTTTTTCTCAGTTCTGGTTTTGAAGGATCACCAGACACAGTTTGCCTTCAGTTGGCAAGGTCAACAATACACCTTCACCGTCCTACCTCAGAGGTATATAAACTTTCTAGCACTATGTCATAATTTAGTTACTTGGGACCTTGATTGGACTTAGTAAGGAAGAAATATCAGTAACTCTAGACTTATTGGTAAAACATCTGGGTACTAGAAGGTAGGAAATCAACCTGACAAAAATTCAGGAGCCTACCACTTTAGTGAAATTTCTAATAGTCTAGTGGGGTGGGCATGTTCTACAAAAGGGAAGGATAAGTTACTGCATCTGGCTCCTCCCACAACTGTGAAGGAGGCACAATACCTGGTGGGCCTCTCTGGAAATTGGGAGGCAATTTGGGCAGCATTTGGGCATGCTGTTCTGGCCTATCTTTGAAGTGACTGGAAAAGCTACTCATTTTGAGTGGGTCCCAGAACAAAAAAGGCCTCTGAACAGGTTCTGGCTACTGTGTGAACCGTTCTGCCACTTGGACCATATGACTCAGCTGACCCAATGGTGCTTGAAGTGGCAGTGGCAGATAAGATTCAGTTTGGAGTCTTTGGCAGACTCCTATTGGTGAATCACAGTGCAGACCCTTCGGGTCTTGGAGCACAGCCCTGTCATCTCTGAAGATAACTACTCCCCCTTTGAAAAATAGTTTTGTTGCTTGTTACTGGGCCTTAGTAGAGACTGAATACCTCACCACAGATCACCAACTCACCGTGTAGCCTGGGCTTCACACTTGAATTGGGTGTTGTCTGACCCACAGAGACATAAAGTTGGACATGCATAGCACCAGTCCATCATTAAATGGAAGTGGTATACAGATGACCAAGCTAGAGCAGGACTTGAAGATACAAGTAAATATCATGAGGACATGCCCAAATGCCCATGGTCTTTACTCCTCATATTATCTTTCCTCTCATACTCTGCACTTACGGCTTCATGGGAAGTTCCTTATGATTAGTTAGTTGACTGAGGAAGAGAAAACTCTTGCTTGGCTTACAGATGGTTCTGCCTGATAAACAGGCACCAGTCGCAAATGGACAGCAGCAGCACTACAGCCCCTTTCTGGGACCTCCCTGAAGGAGAGTGGTGAAGGGAAATTCTCCCAATGGGCAGAACTTCGAGCAGTGCACCTGGCTGTTCATTTTACTTGGAACGAGAAATGGCCAGATGTGCAACTGTATACTGATTTATGGGCTGTGGCCAATGGTTTGGCTGGATGTTCAGGGACTTGGAAAGAGCATGATCGGAAAATTTGTGACAAGGAGGTGTGGGAAAGAGGCATGTGGATAGATCTCTCTGAATGGGCCAAAAAAACTGAAGATATTTGATTCTTATGTGAATGCTCACAAAAAAGTTACCTCAGCAGAGGAGGATTTTAACAATCGAGTGGATTGTTCTGTGGAAAGTAGTCAGACCAGCAATCCTCTTTTTCCAGTCACTTGAGACTATGCCTCACATACTTCGGACATGTTGTCAGTGAGAGCAGACCCCGGAGAAGGACATCATGCTTGGTCAAGTAGAAGGGCATCAAAAAAGAGGAAGACCCTTGGTGAGATGGGCTGTCACAGTGGCTGCAGCCGTGGGCTCAAATATTACGGGAATCGTGAGGATGTTGCAGGATTGGGCAGTGGTTCATTCTGTTATATAGAGGGCCACTGTGCATCAGAACCAACTTAACAGCATCTAACAACAGCAAACGCACTGCCAATGGGCTCATGAACAAAGTGGCCATGGTGGTTTATCAACTGGGAAGGCCACTTATCAAGACTGAGTTGGCTACTGCCATAGTTGAGTTCCCAGTCTGCTCAAACTGCCAGTTACAGAGACTACTACTGAATCTGTGATGTGGGACCATTTCTCAAGGAGATCAACCAGTGACCTGGTGGCAAGTTGATTGCCTTGGATAACTTCCATCATGGAAAGGGAAGCATTTTGTTCCTACTGGAATAGACATTTACTTTTGATTTGCCTTCTCTGCAAAGTTTTGGTCAAAAACTACCATCCCTGAATGACTTTTTCAAGGGCAAAGTATCCCACACAGCATTGCCTCAGATCAAGGAACTTATGCCATTCCCAAGGTAGTGGACCTCTTATCATGAGATACATTGATCTTATTATGTCCCTCATCATCCTGGAGTAGCTGGCTTCATAGAACAATGGATGGACTTCTAAAGATACAATTATGGTGCCAGCTAGGTGGCGATTCCACGAAGGC